ATTTATCCCATAACATTTACTAAATTTTCTATATTTAACTACCTTATTTGAACTAATTTTAGTTATTTTTTTTAATAAAATTGTACGTAGAAGAAATTAATAAATTGTAAAAAAAATGATTAACTTTCATTAAAAATTAATTATGTGTTAAATTAAATGGCACTAATAATCTAATTATACAATAGATTAAAAGAGGGAAAAAATTAATAGTAAAAAAAATTACATAGATTTTATATATATATGTATACAGTATATACTTTAAATAAATTTCATATATAAGATTATTATATAATTTATTAGAAAATATAAAAATACGATAACACGTGTGAAAATTTAATTAATCGAACCGTCACCAGATGGCAATCGATATCACTAAAGAGGCTGGTAATATAATTATAGGGCGCGCTGCCTGTTAAAGCGTCTTTAACGTAACTGTACGAACAAACCAATGGCGTAGCACGTTTTATTTGAAACGGGCTATGCCATTGGTCGCTTATCCGGCTGTATAAAAGCCTGTATTTTTTTCTTTTTATGCGTTACAAAGCCTTAATCCCGTAAGAATTAAAGGCAGGCTTTTGATAAAATTTGGGGGGGGGGAAAGTGCGGAAAAAACATTATTTGTTCGTGTGTAAGTCGCTAAAAGGATGATAAACTATATTTTAAAAAATATTTTTGTACTTCTTGAAGAAAATAGATTGCTTAGATTCCGGAAAAGATATTTGAAATTTAAAAAAACAGGCGGAGAATTGTGTAAACGTCGCGTGGGTTGGATTGTTTCCATCCAAATAAAAACTTTAAATTAATTAAATTAAATAAAATGGCATTCCATTTATATATATATTTAACTCTCTATGTAGGACTCACTAAAGCAATTTCTCTCTTCCAAACATCGCTTATACGAGTATATTTAACAGGTTTGTATCGCTTAATTAATGTTTTTTTCTTAGTTCTACTTTTAATATTTTCTCGTTTTTAGTGTAAATTTAAAAATTTATATTAAAATAAAAAGTAGCTTCACACATAATTTAAAAAAATAATAATAATTATAATTATAATTAAAAGGTTTATCGATTCTCCTTTAAAATAAGCTCGTATTTTACGTGTTTTTAATTTCTGTGTCGCTTGTTTCTTTCGTATTTACGATATTTACGACTTTAACTACGAAGATAATTTTAATAAAAAAAATGAGTGTTTTCAATGTTTCTGGCAAAAACGTATTAGAAAAAATCAATTAAAAGTAATTGAAGAAAGGGGGGAAAATGATGTTTATAATTATAATAATTAGGTCAATTTTTCAAGAAACCAAGGTCGATTACATATCTTCTTAATGATAAAAAAGAAGTGAATGACATATTCTGATAAGGCATCAAGGAAATAATGTGATAAATGACGTTCTAATTAAAGATTTCGAAATATTGTTTATGAAAAATTTATGTGAAAAGTCTCAGTCTTAAAACTAAAAAAAAATAATAATAAATTCTGTTGTTTTATCTACTATTCAAGGTGGCTTAGAATTGGGAATTTAAGCAAATATGTTTGCCTACAGCAGTGTTTCTCAAAGTTCTGACATCTTAAAGTACTGATTGCCCCTTGTAAACAAATAAAAAACAAAGAACTTTTGTAATTAGTCAAATACAGTACTTGACCACAACTTGAGAAGGAGAATTCTATAAAATATATTCATTTAAAATAATAATTTCTTTTTCGGTACGAAGATCACACTTTGATAACCACTTATTGTATTTAAAAATTTTAATATACAAATAAAAGATTTATTTTATAATTAAATTAGTGAAACTGTAAGCTCTATTCAAGAACTTCTAATTCTTGGAATTCCTCGTTAATAATAATTTCAAATTTCTTAATTGGGCCACGAGAAATTGCTGTAAACTTTGTATACGGTATAACTTTATTTTCAAGATTAAAACCATATTTTATTCCCGATTATGATCCTATAGGAATTAACACAGCCCGAATGAATTAAACCACTGAGCACTAGTAGCCTGTCCGCCTGTCTTGCCTGTTTGAGGTTTGCGCCTGTCCGCGTGGAGTTTTCGAGTACTTTTTTCACATTTTTAACATCTAAATAGGATCCAATTTCTAATAGAAAGTCCTACCGGGAGATAGCCCATGTTTTACGTTGCCAAAAATAAATAAAGCAAACCAAATCTGAGCCTGTAGGGAATTACAGTCCGATTTAGAATGGCTTACTTTATAGACGGTCAGACCTTCAGTAGGAGTGGCTGAGTGTACTATGTAAAATACGTCTTATAAACACTTCTACATTCTACACCTAGTTTTATCGCGATAAAACTAAGTTTAGTAATCATAAATGATTGTTATCTAGTTCCAAACACTAATTTCTAATACAATCATCAGTAATTAATTCGATAAGTCTACATATATTGAATTAATTAATCTAAATTTTTCCCCAATTTTTCTCTAACTTACACGACTTGAAATTCGTATAAATCTCTTGTCTCTCTTGCTCGGTTTTGTTTAATGGACAACTCGAAATTTCATATTTCGTACCAATCGATTAAGCATTTGATTTAATTAAATCAAATGTCCGGTTGCTTGTTGTGAAATATGAAATTTCAACTGGACACAGATACTATTGACAGATCATTTACGGATGTTTGTATAACTTAGATTTTATTATTATTATTATTATTATATCCAGATGCCGGATAAATATTACGTTTTGAATTTCTCTAAAATGCATAGTAAGCTGTCCAGGCAATCTTACAAAATTTCCATTCAGAAGCAAAGAAACGATCCCATTATATACAGTAAAACCTATCTAAAACGGAACCTGGATATAAAGGAAACCTACCTAAACGGGAAAAACATTCGGTTTACACAGGTTTTACTGTATATATAATTTTTTAATATATTAATGTATTTAATATAACAGTCGACCCCCTATAACACTGTTGATTATTCCGTTTTATATNTTGCTTTTGCATCTTCCTACCTCTTTACTGATTTATCGCATTTAAATTCGAATAATTTTATAAATGTACAGTACTTTCGGCGATGGTTCATAATACATGTAGCATTACGAAACAGCATTAACATCATTACAGAACTATCGAGAATCGCAATTAGTCGCCATGTTTATTTAATGCTTTGACTGTGCTTGACTACACTGATTTATATAAACTTAGCTCTGTTCAATCGTCCATTAAGTTAAGTTGTATAATTTTTCCTTTTTAAACAGTATTATCATTAAAAAAAACCATTTCTTCTTCCAGTTAACCTCATTCCATTCTAAAGAATGGTATACCAGGCAGTGACTCCGCGCCAAGTAAAAAGTCATTGACTGACTATACATACAGGGATCAGAGTTGCCGATATTCGGGGGGCGATACCTCCGTTCCCCAAATTCCTACGGTAATTCTTAATATCTGGTTCGAAAGATAATTGTTTTCTTAGGTAGCGTGTAAAATTTCAGATTTTTCTATAAAGGGGTTGCCGAAATATAAGCAATCGAAGAGTTATTAACCGTGCTAATTAGTACAAGGGTGTGCATGGAAAACACGGATAATCCAAAATAGCCTTATAAACTATAAAAAGGAAAACTATTCAGAGATAATATATGCTTTCCACCTTAATTACTAGTGGCTTGTTCCTGTACATAATACTTTTAACAATCGAGTCGTCTATCTAACACTTTTTGGGAGATAATGTTTGAATTGAAATAACGTAACTTCCGGTAAAAACCGGGCGTTATTATATAGTTAATCAGAACCTCCTGCTCCTAAAGTTTCCATATCTGGTCTCGTCTTTCATCTATCTAACTCCAATTGTTTGCATTTCTAGATGTTTCAAGGTCTCCAAGTCCAAAAAATGTAATACTTCAGTTGGGTACATTAAATACTAAAAATAATTAAATAAAGGGTCATTATATTTCGTAACCTTTACGTAAAGGCTACTAAAATTACTTTTAAGCGATTTTAAATGACTTACGAACACGTGTTCGTAATTGACGAAGAACAGAGACTGAGAAATGTGCTCGTAGAAAGATACTAAAGGGGGGAGAAATTGTAAGAAAATAGTCAAGAATATAAAAGAAAATACATTAATTTATTTAGATTTGAATAATGTACAGTTTATAAATTAATATTTAATTATTTAAAGATGTTCGTACCCAGAAACACTTAAAGTTTCGTGACGAATAGAGAGTCTAGTAACAATGTGAATTACAATGTCTCGTCTTTATAATAATTCACTTTCTCGTAACTACTTAAATCTTTGTTTATTTATTAAAGATAAAGGGTTACTAACTAAAATTTGTTTCCGCCATATTGAATAGCTTTGATTTTACTCGAGAAATACAAAAAAATTTGGATGTATGGACGTTAGTGAGCACGATTTTGTTCACCCTGTTTGAAGCTTAATAACTCCTGTGTTTCCTGTCGAAAATTTCTGAAATTTTGCAGGGTGGTTTGTTCATTAGAGGGATTGAAGCTAGTAAATTTTGGAGGTTAAAGGTCGTGGAGGTGTGGAGATAAAGGGATTCGCGTGTATATTTAGTAGGGTCGGACTCGATAACGATTTTACTCGTTATTAACATTTAGAATCGTTTATAAAACTCATGCCTACTCTCAAAATTAAGTTTTTTTTTTCTTTTTAAATAAAATATCACAACAGATGGCATTACAAGCAGCTTTAAATGTTGCCGGGAAAGTTAAGCAACTCGAAGGATTTTCGAGTATTAAAATACCAAAATTTAAAAAAATATTCCACGTTATTTTATATTAAAATATGCATGAAAAACAAATAATTGTAAACGAAACTGGAGTCATCTTTCGAACAGATCTCGATCGGGATTTGTTTTGGAAAATTTCATTAAGGTTAGTCACCTTTCAAAGATTATTTAAAAGATTCGACGCTAATAATAAACAAAGTAAGAAATGTTTTGATGGAAGTTCTGTATAAAAATAAAAATAAACTTTAAAATGATTGGACGCCTTTCTTATCGTATGTTTCTATCTCATCTCTTATACCTTGACCCTACTTTCCATTTAAAATTATAAAACTCCCTTCACGTCTTTTATTATCTTGTGTACCCTAAAGAAGGGAATCGTTTGAGGTGAGTATTATTAATACCAACGTCAACGTTATCATCATCATCATCATTTTGATAAATTCAAAAAATTATTTTTCCAGGTCGTCTCTGTTTATCTTACGATCGTTTCTAGGAATCGGCCGATAGTAAAGACCACCCGTATAAGGTTTATTTACTCATTACGACTGTATTCAAATGAAGAAATATTTTTAAAGAAAATAATTTTATATCCTTACATCTGGCAATTTTTTTCTTCCTCCAACTGACCTTGCATATGAGTACTTCCAGACGGGATTTAATCAGTCGTCGATATATGTTTTTATCTTCAGACCGAAGACAGCTTTACATAAATTAAAAGAACTGCCATCGACTTTTCAGCTCTCCGTTACGAATTTTATTCAAATTATAAAAATGTTTCTGGACTTTGCATTGATTTTTCTATGTTGCCACTTGGTTTCTTCGGCATTACCACGTAAGAATTTTTACTCCGTATTATATACTCTTACTACTTAAATGTAAGCTCTTTAAATTATATATATTTCAAGGTCCGAAACTGTACGGTAATGCCATTCCGGATCGCGATGTCGATCCGAATTATTCGTCTACCAGAAAAAAGATCATTCTGTACCATAATTTCTTTCGAGCACGAGTTAATCCCCCGGCGAGTAACATGTTGCAGGTGGTAAGTTGAACGTCTTCATCCATTTTTTTTTCTTTGGTAAATGCTACCCGATTTGATGACTTAACGCAATTTGCATCTTCCGATCTTCTCGACGAAGAGTTGGCACGATGGAGCTACTGAAGATGCGGAAAGATGGGCGCAAGCTTGTCAAGTTCTCTTACACGATAACATCACCGGAAGATGGGTAGACGGTAAGTAAATATTATACTTTAAATATTCTTTCGTGAGAATTTTGTGGTTAATTTCTTTGAAATCATAACGATAGAATTGGGTTAGATTTTGTTGTCTCCGAAACAAAGTATAAAAAGAATTATAAATATTCGAATTAATTTAAACCTGAATCATTTCACAATATGACTACAACAATATAGATAGAAATATGGCCGCCGTTATATAGATAGGAGCAGAGAGGGCAGGAAAGATGTATCGCTGCTTTGCTTTGATAGCGGCACTAAAAAAACTGATTTTGCTTTCTTTACATAAAATTCCTTAGGTGTTATACTTTTATCGTGTAAAATGGCATATTTCTAACTCGTTGAATTCCCATCGGAGATCATACGGTTCGGTTTGGGTTATTTGTTTTACGACAACGCGATCTGCCGAGAGTGAAATTTCAGTGGACTTTCTATGGAAATTTCTCCCTATTTACGTGTTAGACGTGTGAAGAAAACCTGGAAAACTCAACGCGGCCAGCCCGTTGGTCACCAGTGTTCAGTTCAGTAGTTTCATCCACTCGGCCACTGGCGAGCCTTCTAACGAATATAATTAGTTTTTCAATCTCCTGTACCAGACTTTTAAATTACGCCTTAATCAGGTCCTCGTCCAATACAATGAATTTTTACGCGAATGCACGCTTAAATTTAAAATTGACCTTGAAATTAAAGATCGATAATTGAACTTTTTCTTCTTGAAACATATGCCGTATTCCTCTAGAATATCGTCTTTAATTCGACCATTTAACATCAACAAATGGTTTAGCAAATTCTTCTATTAAAGTTACGTTTTTCCCTTCTGATTTATACTCTTTTATAATTTTCACTAGGTGTCTTCTACATAAACAAGAATTAATTATCATCAAATACGCAGACTCGAAGTAATTTCTGAATCCTGCCGGCGAGGTGATAAAATGGCTTTCATTCAGCTGGATAAACAAACCAATGACATCATAAGCAGTATTAAATAAAACGGGCTATGTCATTGGTTTGTTTATCCAGCTGTATTAAAGCCCCCATTCCAGGTAACGTGCCCGTTATTTTGAATACCCCAGTTGATTTTTTAATATTTGATTACGGGTTATAACATCTGTTAATTAATTCAACACAATAGGGGGAAAGGCGGAAGGTTAATTCAATACAAGGGGGAAAGCCGGCTGAGAGATCCTCAGCCGGCTCTTTCCCTTTACTGTCGTACTTCCAATTTCTATTAAAGTTATATTAATGACCTCCAAGTCTTTAGTACAGTAATTAATTCAAATAAATATATTCACTGTTTAACATAATTAAACAACATAAGGATAAGAAGATTGCCAGATGTCCGACTTTTACGGAATTGTACCGGATTTTTTCGACTTCCGCCTAACAATAAAGTTATACGATGAAGTTTCTTTTTCTTTTTCCACATTTTAAACGTGTTTCTATCACTGGAAGAGTAAAAATACACGTCTATTGCGTGTCCTGAAGTTGAAGCCACCCACTATTTTTCGGGAAAAATTCATTTTTGTCCAGGAGGGTTTCATCCCCATGTACCTAAGGCTCCTATTTCTTTCCTCATTAACTAAACTATCCATATAAAGCATTAATAAGTCATTGTTATCTGAAATTCCTTCGTTAACTGCACTTTTAAACTTGAAAATTTTGTTCAAAAATTCTTAATTTTCGTCTTAAAATGTCCGTATTTTTGTCGTCGAGCTATTGTAGAGCTTCTAAACTCACCAGACGATTCACCACCCTCCTCCACTTTTACACAGACAAATTTACAAATGAAGACTCTAAGAAAGAACGTAGCGAATCAGAATCATCATCTTTATTTACCGATGTTTTTTGCACACTAAAATACGAATCTAGACGTTTTATCTTGATATTTGGCTCAGTGGTCAACCTTTTCCTTCCAGTGGCACGTTATAGTTTCAGTATATAAATTTAAATTAGCGGTCCCATGTTGCCTGAAGACACTTTTATTCGGGGAAATTTTTGAGAGGATTTCCTTGTATCGTCATTAGTTTTTTTTAACGCGATCTTTGAAGGGTTCTGAGCCATACCAGCAATCTAGGATTCCCTGATGACGCCAAATTAAATTTTCGATATTCTTACTATAGTAATGAGTCTATAAAAGATTGGTTTGGTCCTCCTTGTTAGTGGGGGCCTCAGGAAATTGCTCTTTTTGTCCACAGGATAGCTTGCCGCTGCTTTCTTCTGTCCAAGAACGAATGCCAAAGTCTCAAAGCCATTCATTGAAAAAATTTATTATTTGTATCTAGAATAGGAAAATAGCTAAATCCTAAGTACAGTCGACCCCCCTATAACACTGTAGATACGTTCCGTTCTTTATGAATCAATTTTGTACGAGTCCTTGCCAATCACAGCCCGACACGTGTGAAGTTTACGGACTACGGCTGTTTGAAAGATTTTCTTCCATAAAATTAATCGATTCCTAGACTAATTCGACTCAACATTTCCAAAACACGTATATTTTTGGGGGAATAATCCGTATAAACTACGCTATAAACAAAAAATTGTAGGATTACTTACCGAGTGTGCACCGTTCGACATCGCCATTGCTTAAGCTTGTTTTCGTCGCGGAGCAGCGCACCAAACGGCGGCCGCGATTTTTGATAAGTTATTTTTCTGCGAAAACTTCGTTGAACTTTGGAGACATCATTAATATAAATAATTTTTATGGCCGTTGAATAAGAAATGTTTCTTTCACAAGAAATGTATAAAATTAGTGCTGTATTAGACTTACGGTACCTAATTTACATACTGTACAGACGATAGTAAACTCAACTTACTCGCCTAAACTCTCCGTAGTATGGCGCTGGACGGCGGAAAGTATATATATATATATAATTATAATAAAGTTACAATAAATTAAGTTAATATATAATTATATATACAGTACCTAATTTATATATAATTAATATATAATTATATGTACAGTACCTAATTTATATACAATTTATATATATAATACTGTACAGACGATAGTAAACTCAATTTAGCCGCCTAAACTCTCCGTAGCGTGGCACTGGACGGAGGAAAGTAGTTCGGCTGCCCGATGGATGACGTTTTACCGAATTATAGGAGTTTTTTTACCAGGTTTGTACGGATACCGTCGCAAATTTTTCGCCGTCATATAGGAATCCGAACTATAGAAACCCTTATAGGGGGGTCGACTGTATTGACAATATGAAAATTATCATTTTCTATAGCTAAATGTAAAATTAAAGCAGCTATATTTAGCTGTAAAATAGTTAAATTGGCAACTATGATGCATTACTCTCTAATTAAGATCATTACGTTTTCGTTTGGTTAAATTGATTTTAGCTTAAAAGTGGGGGGAAAAACCACTTTGTAAAAATGTAGCTAGTGTTGAGTGAACATCTTTAAAAAAAAATCAACGACAAGCTTCAATACTTATTCTAAAGATGCAACAAAGGGAATTAATTAGTGAATTAACAAATTGATTTAACTTGTTGCAGCAAACAAGTAAAGTTAAGTAATCCTAATACAGAATATATATGTTTCTTCAGCACGAACTTTTTATTTACATTTGATAAAAGAGTTTCAGTAAATAAAAATAGTTTTCTACATCTGCCTAAACATCTAAGGGCCTTTTTTTTCCCATTGAAAGTCCTCCCGAGAGGCATCACCTTTGTCTGATCGCCCACGTGTTGCCGTTATATCCTAGTAGCCGATTAAATCTTTATCCACGCTTCTATTTTCTTGTGATTTTATTTATTTTGTCTGACAGAATACGACATTATTACATCAACCAGTTCTTCAAATGATAAATCATTCACTTCGTAGTTACTATTATCGAATTCGTTCCCTCTTCAAGTTAATTTTGGAATATAAAATTAGCATGTAATTAATTTATGTGATAAATAAATACTATCAAAAACTCCTGAAGGCCGAGGTTAAATATAAAAAAAACACTATTTAAATTTATATTATGATAAAAGATGGTATAAATCCTGTCTGTCTGAGTATAGAGATGAAAAATCCATTATGGACTGCATCTTACTGAAGCGGAATGTACATTTAATACCTAACGACAATTGTAAGTAAAATAAATATGGAATAAAATTCAAAAGATGATAGCATTGGCCTACAGAATGAATAAAATGTCAATTTATTAAAATATAACCAAAGTTTTCTATTTTTCAAATATTTCTTTTGAAGTATTGATAGATCTAAGATTTAATGAGGTATGGCAACGTAACATTTGGGCGATCTGCCGAGGGGGTGCCTACAGGGAGGAATTTCTATGGGAAACAGAAACTGGCACCCATTCGGGTGTTAGACACGTGAAAAAAAACCGGCAAACTCCACGTGGCCAGCCCGTTGTTCATGCGCGAACTTATAGGAAACTGGCCTTTGTTTCGGTATTATAAACAGAAGAATGTGTTCCATAGTCTACACAATAGACTATGGAACATACTCGTTAGCCAATTAATAAATCAATAGACTATACTTGTACAATTAGTATACAGAAATACGCAGATAAAATCGTTTAAATGATTTATACCGCATTTGGCGAGTTGCCTAACTTTCCCTGCGAAAGACACTAACGAGTAAGACATAGCATAAAATTAAAATTGTCTTTGGTGCCATCTGTTACGAGATTTTGTTAAAAAAAAATAACTTTTATATTATTAATTATTGTAAAATGGCAAAAAGCCTAATATTTGAGTGTAGAAATGAGTTTTACTTTAAAAAAAAAAAAAAACTTATAACGAGTAAAATCTTCATTAAGTCGGTCACTATTCGAGATGTGACACGCGACCCCCCATCTCCTAAAATTTAATAGCATCAATGCCTCTTATACACAAACCACAGTGCAAAATTTCGTCTGTTAATCATTATCCCATACACAAATATCAAAATATACGTCAACAACATACTCATATACCGAATTTCCCCCTTTTACTTTTTTGGGTTCAGGGGGGTCTCAAAATGTGAAGATTTGTAAAAATTCCGGAGGGTCAAACTTGAACTATTCCAACGATTGAAACATAAAAATTGTTTTAATTTCTTTTCTTTTCTTTCATTTCTATCACACAAAACACAAATTTGTGTAGAGCGAGTGCAGTAAAACCCGCGTAAATCAGATATTTTTCCCGATTAGGCAGTTTCCGTTTTATTCGGGTTCCGTCTTGGGAAGGTTCTACTGTATAACCGTTTCTTACAATATATTAAACATTGAAACCAACTTGATTTAGACATAGTCTGAAAGTAAATTTCAAAATATTCCGCTCATTCATCCTCATTACATTATTCAGAATGACAATCGGATGAAATAACTATCTCTTATTCTTCATCCCGAAGATGAAGGTGATGATGATGATGATTATAACTTCAAACTTGTTTTTCAATCTTTTCTGCTTATTGGTTTTGTTTATTATTTCACTCTGGTTTTTAAGGTTTTCAATGGAATGTTAAACTGTTTACTTGCTGTTCCTAACGATAACTTTTCTTTTTTAAATAGCAACAACTGCATTCTTAAATCATCCTAATTCCACAATGCTCGATTTGTTTTTCTAATATAATATAAGTGTTTGATTTGGTATAATATTTATAGTATACACATAAAGTACACAATTAGAATTGGAATATATATTCTTCTCATATTAAAATGTATAAACTAGGTGGAAAGTAACTAGGTAGAAATAAATTACTATAATTTCTATAATTCTAAAGCAAATATGATGAAGATTACATAAAATGTATCATATTAAATGGAAATACGGAAGCATACCTTAAAATTCAATTTAGGCACCAGTGTCATCCACAAGTTTTCCTCATATCGTGACGTGATGGATGACCATCTCTATGTGCGTCCGCAATCAAATCTGTAATCATTTTAGCTTTGAATGACAATTTTTGATTGTTTTCAAACGGATTGTGGCACGAAATCCCTCCACCACACGACATCACCTCTGCACAGCAATCACTGATTTCCACAGCTCATAACGCGCAGCAATCTGCAATGGGTCCTGAACAGACAATGGTTTGTCTTTTATTCCACTCTGCTTGGGGCATCTCTCGGTCATTGCCCACACCACCGTTGCAGAGATTATAAAATTCCATTGATTGATGTATATTTGTACATAAATTTTATTACGGTTGCATTATCATTACAAAAAGTATAGCTATTTCTCAATGTCTAGTTATTTTTCACCCATACTGCAAATAAAATCTCCTCCCTTCGTAATAAGCCATCTCTCCTAAATATAGAGACGTCTTTTCGGTACGATGTGATAAATAACAGGTTGGTTTTACTCAATAAAGTACAGCAAGGATATAAATAAGAAATTCAAATTTACGAAAAGTTCGTATCTTCGTTTACTTCCCCTATCATTATTATTACTTTGATCATGTGGAGGCCATGTCACAATGCATTGCCAGCCAATGTCAGCATTCAGCAGATTCAACTGTGTTACAGAACAGTCTCGTCTTGTATCGACTAGTGGGCAGGAGCTTCTAGGCTATATCGCCCCGTGATAAAATGTGACGTAATTGTCATGTAATAGTAGTAGTATGCATTTATGATGGTCTTTATGCGGGGAATAATGCATTCCGGGAAGTATTTTAAGGGTAGCTGATCCTATTCAGGCGTTACAGACGTGGAGAAAACCCGGAAAACTCAGGCAGAAACCCGTGCATCATCAATTCTTTCTGTTGAAATTCTTTGAGCTGCTCAGTTTGCTCCCTCCTTTCAGTCATCCGCTTCTAACTTTGGTCAGTCGCACGCCATTACGGTAATAAATAATAAAACGATTATACTTGTACCGTGAGAGGCTGAAGGCCCGTAGTTACATTGGGACTTTCTTTTATCATTTTGTTCAGTTTATACCGTTAAAAAAAAGTAATTTTTCTTTAAATTTGAATACAGTACTTTAAAACATTTTTTTACGCGAAACATTTAATGGTGTTTTCGATGCAATTCTAGATTACGGTTCCTGCGGGCAAAATATTTTCATCGCTAACGTTCGGGTTTCGTGGTTTTTTGCTATCAAAGTATGGTTCCTGGAACACCTGAATTTCACTTATAACGGTTCCAACAATATTCCATCCGTCGTTGGACATTATACGCAAGTAATTCGGGGAGAAAAACAAAAAAAAAAAAAAAAAACATTTTGAACAGATTTAAAAAGTAAGATTAATAATGGTTTCCCTCTTAGATGGTTTGGTACAACTCTCACAGAATAGGATGCAGTTACTACTATTGTGGTCCTAACGTCACCGCTAAACCCTATCACAGTTACATTTGCAATTATTGCCCTATGTAAGTACATTTTTTCCTTTTTATTCCAGTTTGTAATTTATTTAATCATTTATATTATTCGTCGAAACGTTTAGTGGCAATTATCCCGATCGATTCAGTCGTCCATACGACACTGGAGAACCGTGTTCCAAGTGTCCCGGTCAGTGTAAATATAACAAACTTTGTAGTAAGTATTAACGTTTTTCTTTATCTTTCTAAATTTATATTTTAAAATTAAATTATTATTATTATTTTGTTAAGCTAACGGATGCGATTACGGAGACTTCTGGGCAAATTGCGGGGAATTGAATTCCACGTGGCACAATTGGTTGTGTGACGACGAAAATCAGGAACGTTCGCAGGCATGTCGTGCCACCTGTCGATGTAACGGAAAAATACTGTGATGATTTTCTTAAATATTTTGATTTCTGTTTTATGTAAATATCAGTTTTTTTGTTTGTTTGTTTAATTTTCGCCGAAAATTTGGTCGATCACTGAAAATTTTAGCTTGTTTCCATCCAACTACGTGACAATTTAGCAGACTTTTCCTCCGTCCTCTACGAGGATACATGCGCTGGAAAGGGGGAAGGGGGAATAAGTTCCATCGGCGGCTCAATTCAAGCTCTGAATGATACATTCGGAAACTTAACAGAGCAGTAGAGCATACTCATAGGAACAAAAAAGTCAAAGCACCGTACCTCTACACGCAACCCTTCGCGAGATATAACCTCTCCAAAATTACTCTGTGGCATATTCCTACGCTTTCTTTTCCAATCCCAAACATCCCCACGGATATGGGTAATTCTACGTGATCGCCACCTTTCAACTGCTACTTCCGGGGAGGCAATCGGGAGTCGCGTCGCTCTCTCCGCTAAGCGTATTGTGTGTTTAACTGGCATATTCTAACTGGCAATTATCGGCAAAGACTAAAGAAAAGCCCGATTATTACGGCTAATTACGCAACGTTTCGCTGCTACGTTCGTACTTGACCCACGACTAGATCAGTCTCGGCACGTGTAAAATACAAGCAAACGTTTCCAAGCATCTTCTAAAAATGCTGCTCCATCATTGAATGCTATTATCTCAGAGGCAAAGATTGCGTGAAGAGTTGCTAAACCAAAACTTACTACATCGAAAGATACCAAACCAAAAGAATATCCAACAGATTCTCTTTAAGACTTACGTGCAAAACTTGCTCCAAATTCCTGTGATAATAGCGAAGTTGCGGCCGAAGTTTTCATCTTTAAAACGTGAACGTCGAACGTCGAGCGCCGCTATCTTGTATACGGCGCTCGACGTTCGACGTTCACGTTCACGTTTTAAAGATGAAAACTTTGGCCGCAACCTCTCTAATATTCGGAAAAGTTCGTATCCTCTTGTAAAACTTAACCCAAATATTCGCCAAACAACTGTTGCTACTAATAAAGGAAGTTCCCGAATGTTGCATATTTCAATTTGAAGACAAACTTCGATTATTGGATTAAGAAAAGTAAAACTGAAAATCTTGATTCGCAGAAAAATTGTAATCAAAGTATTAATGAAAAAGCAATTTCTATATTAAAAGTTTTCCATATTTTAAGACTCAAAGATGCAAATAGCAATTTCTGTCTTCATCAGATTTTTGAAAAGCATTGTTAATCGAAGCTTTGTAGGAATATGAGCCGGTAAAGTACGAGTTAAAGAAAATACATACCATTACTTCTCGCATTCTCTTTCGTTGTCTTGAATAACCTCGAGGGATCACGTGACCCGCGCTTCATTTCTATGGCCGAGGGAGGGCCGCGTGGATGGGCCCGCAGTGCTTTTCTCGTGTTCGCATGCCCGAAATATGAGTTCCCGTATGGTTCTGGTAGAGCTACCTGGTGGGCACGTGCGGAGAGATCGGAGATCGAGTTCCGGCTCAGTTAACCGGTGTGCTATTAATACTGTAGATATTTGTATTTACAGGCAATAGATGGCGATTTCGGACGAAGATCGGGGGGGAGGTACGCGCGCGGAGGGCTAAGTAAGGGGCATGCGTGGTTTTTTTTACCGCAGAGTTCCCTGACACCCGGAAACCGCGCCCGCAGAAATCCGGCACCCCTTTTGGTCGTGGAGTCACGTGACCGGAAATGACGGAGTCAACTATAGGGGAATATCTCGCGAAGGGTCACATATAGCGGTCTGGTTCCCGACTTTTATGGTCGTGCAAGGGATCTACAATTTGGGAGGGGGGTCAAAAATCACTCATTCGGAGCTTGAATCGTGCCTCGGCGGCCATCTTTACACGATATTCGACGCGACTCTAAATCAAGATCTAATGAATTCGCTTTAACGAGGATCTTGCATATTAACAATTTGTACTAACCGACTGCAATTAATTAATATACTCCAATCAGAATTCGCGCACACTTATTTAAAAATATGCAAATATTACCGAAACTTCCTTTTAACCAAATTCTCCGTGCTGAATATTGCGAAATTGTGGTTTACAGAATTGCCCGAATAGAAATTATAAAATTGATTACCGATAATTAAGATCAGCACCGACATCATTTCGTAACCGGATAAAGTTTCCAGATGTTCCGGTTTTTCGGGAATTTCCCAAGTTTTCTCCGACTGCATCTAGTAACAGGGAAACTATTATAAAAACTGCTCCCATAATAAAGTATATTTTTCTTTTCCACATTTTTAAACGTATTTTTGTCAGTCGGAATAAAAATACACATCTATCAGGCCCACAATGGAGCGGCCGAGATCCGATATATCCGGATCAAACCCCCGAAAACTTCCTGGATTTTTTTTCGACCCCCGTATAGAACAAAATTCGGCCATCGGGCCGACAAAGCTTTTATTATATTTGCAGAATTTTCGCTATGGTGTGTCAGATCTGTTCTATAATTTATCTAATTTTTAATCCATAATTATTGATTATATATTATATTATATGTTACACATCAAATATTACAAACTGTATAATTTGTTTATAAAAAATAAATAACAAGTCAAACAGTTGATTTTTATTTACTTCAGTGTTTGCTCTCAAGGTACATCCATTTTTTTTTTCTCTCAATGTTTAAAATAATTACAAAGTCTCAGATTGTGACATTCCTAGAAATATATTCAATTCATAAAATTTGGCAAACAAGGAATATGTTTTGTCCTGCATTCGCGTTAATTAACAGGAGTCATTTCTGGACTTGTGACAAAGTATTTACAATTGTTGATAACTTAACATAAATTTGAGTGTATGTACAATGACAATGAGAAACACGTGTGAAGTCTTATGATCTAGGACAAGCAGTTTATATGTTGCTGTGTGCAACAAGCCAAAGCTATATATGAACATATGTTTCTAAAACAATCTAATATACAAGCACCAGGGAATTTTTACGTTTTTTTTCTTTTTTTTTTCTTTTGCCATTATCAATGACAAATATATAACAAGCAAAAAGCCAAGTGATTGAGTGTATTTGGATTTTAGAGCCTCTGTTGACAAAATATGCGCAATCATGCTCAAGTTGTCTGACTAGAAAGTCAATATCTTTGATTGGGAAAAATAATTTCTTATTTTCTTTTCTTCCTTTTTTTTTTAACTTAATTTGGCACATTGAGTGTAACTCTAGCTGGCTGGCTGGCTCTGTTTGGAATGGGAGTTTTGAATGAATTGTAATCTCCAACACAGCTTCTTCATTTATTCGAAGCGAAAGGAATGATACAATGATCACAAATATATTCTTTCTTTGTTAATGGCAACTTATGAAAAAGGCAAACAAATATACACAGGATGTATCACAAGGAAACTAACAAATCTTAGGCACTAAATGTATTTTTTGCACGTTGCAAAAATTTTATACCAAATCTCTCTTTGGTTAACTTTTAAAAAAGGCTTGCTGAATTTTTTTCCCATTGAAAATATTATGGACAAGCTGACTTCTGTTGAAATCAGCTGGTGTGGCACCAATATGGTTGCATAGGCTTCGGTTGATGGTTTCTTTACGTAGTTTCCTCTGTGATCCTTTTTTCGGATTGGATTCTTATTATTAGAATAAAAACAATTAACAGGAAATGAGTAAACTTTTAGTGCAATTACAATTTTGAGCAAATGATAAAAATGTCACTCTACACAACCTAAAACTATAATATTAAAATACAGTTATAAAATCTGACTGAATGTTTCTTTTAAGCTGCAACTACAACAGCTGATCTGTTTGACAGTCAAACGAACACAAAAAGCACTTTGGGTGGTTTGTTAATGGTGCTATTAAGTTCTGCAGACAGTGCAATCCATACAAATACTGATCAATTATTATTGGCTAGCAGCCCCAATTACATTACTCCAAATATCATCTTTCCCCTGAGTATCCAAACTACAGGGTGCTGCAGGAGCATAATTCAATTGAAATTGCCCTGAAACAAACATAAGTTCTATTTAATAACATTAGCATATAAGCATATTTGTAGTAAATAAATTTATATATGTGACTTTATGTACATATTTATTTGCACCGTTATAAATATTTAATGTGAAGGCACCATATTTACAAACATATATTTTTAAGACAAAAGAAATTAACAATATTTAAATTAGTTATTTCCACTTTTACAAACAGTATTGATATAGTGCCTACCGTCATCCGGAGCAGATTCCTTGCAGTCGGTGCCTCGGTGTCCAACTTTTCCACAGTTATAACAAGTCATTTTTGCAGAAACGCCACCATTTGTCGACTGACAGTACTTTGAATAGCACGAGTTGCCACCTGCAAAACTCACGGTTCCAGACGTTACACTAGGTACTGGATTAGATGGTACCGAGCTGGGACTAGGTGAAGGAGGAGGCATGGGAAATGACTGTCTCGCATATATTAATTCTGGAGGGAGTCCATTTGCTAGAGGAAATGGAAAGTTATGGACTGGAGGAGGAGGTGTCATAGCTGGTGATATTAAACCATTTGCTGGAGAATTATTATGTGTAGGTATAAATGGGAATGTCTGAGGGAAGATGTGGGGTAAAAATCCAACACAGTTAAATGGTAATGAAACAGGATGAGGTGGTTGTTGTGCAGTACCGGGAGTTGGAGTCGACGAAGTCACTGACGATGGAACTGAAGAACTGGTAACTGTACATGCACAAGTACAGGTTGCCGGTTGACTATGATGAGTGGATACTGGAGGTGGTGGTGGAAGCAGATAAGTGGGTGTTAATGTATAATGAGTGGGAATGATGTCAGGTTGTTGGTGCATTTTTTGGTTGTTTTCACTGTCTATAACCATCGTTTGCATTGAAGAAATATTTTTTGGACAGTGATGCCTAGTGGCAAGAGATGCTGTAGTCATTGTACCAGTTCCACTATTTCGATATGTTGCCATACAGGACGTTGGTGTTGTGCACCCAGATGTGACTGGAAATGGACAAACAGTCGTTACGGTCACAACTGTAGATACAGGAAGTACTCGTTCTGGAGTTCCGCTGTGAGATCGTTGAATGTTACTGTGAGATAAAAAAGAAACAGCACTGGGTAGACCAAAGTTTGTATATTGACCATTTTCAAAAATCACAGTACTTGTTCCTAAAGGAGGTGGAGCTGGATTATTTTTACCATGAACTGGCAAATGATTTGGTTTTTGAACATTGGGATGAATTTGTAGAACAGCAGGAGCATAAGTTACTGGAGATGGAGCAATTCCCAGAGCTATCCGGTTCTCTTTATTACACTGATTTTCTTCTAATTTTGCACCAACACATTTTCCAGACCAATTCTGTTTATCTTCTCCTAGCTGCAAAATGGCTTCATTTTCTGATTTTGAATTATTTCCTACAGAAGGAAATTGTTTAAATAGTATTACATTAATAATAAATTACTTTAAATAAATATAAAACACAATTAACAAAATCTTTTCTTTAAAATTCTGAATTATTTCAATATTTTTCATTCAGTTAAATCACTCAATTACTTCATAAACATCGAATTTTATTCTCTTCTTGATTAAGTTGATAAAAAAAAGATGAATTTTTTATAAGAAGAAATGTCTGCAACAATTTCAATTGCTTTCTTCAAGTTCTACAACTCAAAAATAAATTCAAAAACTCATTTTTACATTAGATCTGTAAAGTATAAGGGTAACAATTGAGAATTTCTTCTGAACATATATTTTATTTTAAAAAAAACATTCTATATATAATGATTTTTTAATGTAATGTAAATAATTTTAATGAATAAATTTTAACATTTATTCTTATATTAAAATTATATATAAATATTTGAAATAAACTTCAAAGTTATTGATTTGAACATTAAATGAAACTTATAATTAATATTTTTAATAAGAAAATGTTTTCCCACTTAATGCTCAATGTAAGAAATATTTCAGCTGGTAAATATGTACACAAATAAATCATCAGATTTGATTTTTTTTATAAATTTTGCCAGCTTTGCTTTACAAACTGCATATATTGTGCCATATAACTATAATCATCATCACATCAAAACATTTAATAGTTAGAGTGTTTGACAATTAAATATGTTTCTATGATTCCAACTTAGAACAATTTAAAGCCAACATTATACAGGAGAGAGGAAATACTGGAAATTTACCAGCTTTTAACAAGAAAATTTAAGTAATAGAATCTAATATCAGATAAAACACAAGACTGGTATACAAAAATGGGAGAGAACTAAAGGCGAGGCATATATATAGATGTCCGTTTTTCAAAATTTGTGATGTCAGATGAATGTGTAGCACAAATGATTTTTTTTTTACAATTTTTAGACACTCTTAGGAAGTTTAGACAAAGAAAAAGCTGATGGGTGACCTTGTAATTGCAATTTAATATCAACACAAACTGATGCGCTACATAAACTGCAAATGCTTTCAAACGGACTTTAACTCTTTAAACACAAAATTGGTCTAAATTAGCTATATTTGTCAAGTGATGCAATTCTCAAAATCAATACTTTTTGTTATTTCACACCATTCAATATGCTTGTAGATTATATAGGGAGATTTACTTCATTAAAAAAATGGGCATTTTTCTGGAATGTATAATAAAAGAACGGGATATAGAATAAGTTGTATGATAGAATGTCACCTTACTCTATAAATGTCAAAATATTATACAACCAATTATTATAATGCTTTCTAAAGTAATTATGCCTCTTCTTCATGTTAAGCTAGGGATGGTTAAACACTTTGTCAAGGCATTAAATAAAAGAGATTGCTTAAATGCAACAGGAAAGAAATTTTCTGTTGCATCTAGACTTTTGCGAATATTGTTACAGAGTTTCTTGGTAATAAAAAAGATCTAAATTATACAAATATTGTCAACAAAATGTTAAGTACATCCAAGATTTTGGTTGCAATATGAGTTTAAAACTTCATTTTATACAATCTCATCTGAACTACATGAAAATCTTGGATCTTTAAGTGAAGAATAAGAGGAAAGATCCCATCAAAATGTAAAGGAAATTGAGAGATGATACCAAGGAAAGTAGTCTTTTTCTTTTTACTGTTGACTAATTAAGCAACAGGTTCCAGGAAAAAAGTTTCACAACAAAAAACAACAATCACGCTGATCTTGACTATTCAAAACTATTACAGAGAAATTATAATATTTTGTGTTAATGTTATGTAACTGGTATTGTAGCTTTTACTAAATGAAAATACGTTTGCAAATAAATGTCTTTAAAACTATGAATACTGATGTCTTTCAAGTAATCCTTATGTAATAAAAAAGGTCAATTGTTTTTGTATTCAACGCAAATAAATTATATAAAAATTACGTGGTTTGGTTAATATAATAATTGCAAAATTTAAACCTGCTGGCTAGGGTAATTTTTTGTACTTAATATAATTTTCATAAATGAAAATCATATTAAATCATTAACATTAAAAAAATTGGCTTAGAAAAATACAATTTCTAAACAATGTTTATCAATATTAATAATTTAAATAATCTGCAGAAATTTTCATTTCAAGTAAAATCTAAAAAATAAAAAATAAGTAACAAATTTACATGTTTTGTGTAACAAAATATAATGTTTTAGAAATATTAACATATAAGGTAAAAATTCAATTAGAAATGAAATTTTACATGAATTTTTATACACTATTTTGAATATTTTGGATTAAATTATGCTTCCTATATTATAATGAATGCATGCAAATTAATGATTAAAAAAAATAAACTGAAATACTGACAATGTATATAAAGTGTATCTATTTATTATAATACCTTTTTCACTTATACTCTCCTCTAAACTTAGTTTTTCTAAACCCTGTTGATTTTGGGAAGTATCTGCAAGAGGTGGACTCGCAGGAGGACTGGAGTATTCGGAACACGATGGAGAACTTTCACTACTAATTTGATTAATAGCTCCTTGGTTTGACAAAATACTACTGGCAGTAACTGGGTTAATACCTGATAAGTGATTGCTTACACCATTTAAACTTGAGCAGTTTCTGAAATAATTACAAATAACTTTAATTAAATTACAATATAAAATTAAATTTTTAAATAGTTAAACATAAAAATTAATGTTTAACTTGTAATAGTGAAAATAGTTTCCAAAAATAGCAAACTTTATAAAACTATTTTAACAGAATACAAATACATAGGATAAATCATAACAGATGCAGTTTATTCCTGCATATAATAATGCATTAATCATGCAATTTGTGCTGTCTGTCAAAAGTTGTATTCATTAAATTTTAGATTATATTATAATATGAAAATTAAATAATGTGAAATTTTTCACACAATGTAACTACATTCATTCAAATACAACATTAATATGAACTATGTGCTAAATTTAATGACAAACCAAAACATGAAAGTTGATTTATTATTGTCAAGCATCAGCATATTAAAACAGCTGGTCACAATTTTACCCATTCCAAGTGAGCCTGACTCACAATGGGGTTGGCCAATATAAATGAGAGATTGAGAATAATGGCCCAATTTATATTACTCATGACAAAGTATAAAGATTTAGATCAAATTTGATTCTAGATAGCCACAAAGTAAGTTGACACCTTACCAAATGCATAATAAATACACTGATGTAGAAAATATTTTACTCGCTTATTGTAATAATTAAATCATATTATAATGTGAGATCCATTTGTAAATAATTAATATTTTGTAAATTGTAAATTCCATTTGTAAATTGTTAATATTTACTAATCTTAATAATTAAATAAAAAATATTTATACAAAATAAAATTCTAATTATTTTTATATACAAATAAAATTTTAAAAACATATAATTTAAGTATTTTTATTATATTTATTGTTGGGTCCATTTAAATTCTGATACACCTTCACATAATTTTATAAACTACAAAATATAAAATTCCTATTTTTTAAAACTTTAACTACTGTTACCTATAACAATATATAAAATTCAGCAATTATTATTATGTAATGAACTGATAAAAATATTTCAAAGGTGCAAAATAGTTAATTTCTTTTTTTATACGAGGGTCATTCTAAAAGAAAAGAACATTTTGATCAGACGAGCTACGCAGTTCTCTCCCCACCCCCTACCCACTGCCGCATCATGGACCTTCCCATTTATTCCCAAAAGTCTGATGCTAACAGCAAGCTGCAACAATTGTTTACTGTTTATAGTGTAACTTTGAAATATGTGAAAAATTAATTAAATTAAAGATCCCGCCAAGTGTGAGGTTCGTAGTGTAATACGCTTTTTGAATGCAAAAAAAATCTACCCTATCAAAATTTACAGACAGACAACCAAGATTTATGGTAATGTGATCTATGAAGCTTCAATTTGAAACAAACAGCAGGGATTGTTGTCCGAAGGCATTGTGCTTCTTCAGGATAACGCACAAACTGCTGTGTTGACAAAGAACTTGCTTCAGCAGTTTAAGTGGGAAGTTTTTGAACATCCTCCTTATAGCCCGGACTTGGCTCCGAGTGATTACCATCTTTACCCAAAATTGAAAGATTTTTTGGCTGGAAATCACTGTGGAAGTGACAACAAATTGAAAGAGGCTGTTAATGACCGGTTCAAGAACTTCGCAGTAACTGAGTGTGCAGAAGGCATAGAAAAGCTGGTGACACGCTAAGAAAAATGTTTAAATTTGTATGGCAAATATATAGAAAAGTAGCTAAGGTATCATATGTGTTGTAAAATAAGTTTTGTTTCATTATCTTAAATAAAAATATCTAGAGATAAATGTTCTTTACTTTTAGAATGACCTTAATGATAAATTATATTTATTTTGTGGCTAAAATTTCTGTCAACAAATATAATAAAAGTACTCATTTGTTCCAATGTAACTATATTAATAATAACAATAAAGTGTAAAAAGACAAAAAAAAAGTGTATAATCAGATTAGGTATATAGATAAAGTTTTAAGATAAGATTATCCATATCACATACAGATAACCTTACCTTAATTATATGTACTGGTACTTTAATAGTAAGAACATACATTATAAGATTCAATCTAAATGATATTATAGTGTTGAATGAATTAAATTAACTAGGTGGAAGTCCCATTTCAAATCCACAATCTAAAAATAAAGCCACAAGATTACTTAAGACTAGGTGCAAATTAGTCAATGCCATCACTTTTAATGCGATGTCATGGCTCATGATATCACTCATGTTCTAAAGGCCCAATAAACATTTCCTCTAACATCCTAGGAATTATAACTCAAAAGAGTTTGTTTACAAAATTATAAAAATCGGTAATCACAATGTGTTACTTATAATTTTTTGCAATTACTTCTTGAGAGTATTTTTTACTACCAAAGAAGTGATTAATAAGAAATGTACTACATATTGCTAAATATATATGTTATACAATCATATGTATATTTTATAGTTACAATAATTTAATAAAATAACTGTAATGTTAAATTAATGAAATATTTTGATAATCAATCAAAAAGTTTGATGTGAAATCAGAGCTTGTAGCTGAAATAAGTGGCATAAATATTGTGCTTGAAAAATCCAACATGTTGAATCTGAAAGTCATTGAAAGAACCACCTATTTTCTGTCAAAGGTATAATATAGAATGACATTGAATTGATGACTGTACAGCTAATGATTGGCCTATGATGACCAGTTTGCTGTTATGTCAACTAGTTTATACTTAGCCTAAGCCAACTGATGTCCAGCAATGTGAGATCTTATTGATATTTCTCAAATGCATATTAATACTATACATAATGAACAAACAGTCACACCTATTTTTAAATTTTTATTTCATATTTCTATTCAACTAATTCATATAAAATAAATGTCAAATTACAGCTCAATATGAGATTTGGGCTACTCAACATTTTGTATTTTTTATCTGGATCAATTATTTATATTGGTTACTAACATCTCCAGGGTTATCTAGGTGTACTCTAAGTTCAATATTTTTCAGTTTAATTTTGTTAACTTCCTCCTTTGCCAATATCCACAGAAAAAAATAATATGAAGTTAAATTAGAACTCCAAGATAATTATTTATTGGCCATTTTCAATCATATATTTTATTTTATTTTTAACACAATTACAGCTTATATTATTCTGACATGTCTTCATATAAATTATTGAATTAGTTGAATGAGAGTAAAGAAATGAAAATTTAAATAGATATATATGGGATAATTGAAAATTGTTCTATCATATTTACTTGAATATAAGATGCCATCTAGTCTATTAGATCTAAGATACAGTTTAATTTCTTTGTGCTCACCCATAAGTTTTTCTTTTCTTTTTCTTGGAAAATAGACAACTCAAGAAAAATTTGTCAACAAATGATTCTGTTGACAAAAAAATTCTGTTTTTTTCTGTATTTATTGCATGTAAAATAGTTATGTATCATATTCTTCTATGGTACTGAAGTCTAAAATCTCTTCACTTTGTGTTAGGTTCTTCTGAATAAACACTGGATTCAGAGCTCACATCTTTCATGTGGAAAGATGTGAGTCTTCAGTTCCTTTTAAGCAATATATTCCTTTTTGGAAATGTAATATTTCTTGAAAGGAAGCCACACCACTTTTTCTGCAATTTTCATCCAAGTACTTACAATGTTACTGTAATAGATTAATAGATTGATCTCGTGACCTCTCTCAAGTAGTTACTATTTGACCATTACAAATATCAGTTTAATAAAAATCATTAGTTATTCTAACAACCACTTAATTAAAAGGTCTTTTTAGACAATTAAGCAAACTTGCAATATCTTTCCAATTCCAACAATCACCCAAAGCCAAGAATTATTCAGAATTTCATTAACAATTCTTTCATTTATATGCATTTCAGATCAGAAACTGCAAGAGTTGCAAGTCAACAAATAATAATTTGTAGACTGAATCATAATTGTAATTGTAATTACCTGAAGTATGATCGTGTCAGGCAATTGATACTGCAAAGATACTGCAAGTTTGCTTAATTGTCTAAAAATACCTTTTAAGTGGTTGTCAGAATAATCAATAAAATCTGACATATATTGCTAGTTTTTAGCCTAATTTTATTAAAAATCATTAAAATAATGCAATGGAATTAGTGACAGATAAACAAAATGCATGACACTAGAGGATGTTAATTATTACATATTACATTGATCTAAGAGGCCATCAAACATATGATGCATTATATTTTCAGAGATACCATAACCTGAAAAATAGTAAATCTTACATTCAAGTAAATATGGTATGTAGCAAGATAGGCACAAACATTCTGGAAATCATCCTAAGATAAATACAGTAGACTCTACTTATTTTAATCACTTTGAATCTTACCTAAACTGATAATAAGCAGAAAAAGTAAATGAGTGTTAGAACAATTACAAATTGTATAACTTAAAAACTTTATTAATTATAATCATTATTAATTAAAACAAAATTCATCCAGTATTGTTTGTGTGCTACGAACATCAACAACAGCTAGTGTAAAGCTAGCAATTTTGTTAAAATTGTAATTTTGTAAGCAAATAACAGCACTAATTAACATGGCATTAAAAAGGCCCATCTATCCAATGATGAGGATAATTACAACTAAACTTTGATTACAATAAGAAAAGTTTTTTAAATGTGTTTTGGAACCTACTAATTTTGATAATTATAATCAATTAATAACATTATCTGTGATTACAGTAAGTGGAATCTATTATATTTTGCAAACTAGATATACTAAAATTTCAATAAAAATAATAATATTCAAACTATCATCATTTCAGATCTTTTGTAAATAGCTCCATTTTAAACAAATTCTATGAATCTGTTTTATAAAAATTATTTAATAAAAATTTCTTGTATATTTAAAACTATTACTTTTATTATAAATTCATAATTAGCTTATATAAAAATACACTATCAGAATTATTTATTATAATAAGCTCTCTTTTGTGTTTTATTTGACTAACTGTCTAAACAATATTCAATAGAGAGTTGATAAAATAAAACACATAAAAGAAAGCTTATTATAATAATAAATAAATTTGATAGTGTATTCACTGTTGTCTAACTTTGGGATATTTTTAGAACAGACAAAGAAAAAAATAGTGACAGATAAAAATTAACAGCAAAAAGTTTTTCAATGCAGAATGCAAAAATGACTTTGAAAATAATAATTAGTGATATTCAATATTTATGCAACTGAAGATAGTTTTAAAATTGTACGCAAAACTTTAGGCACAGCAGCATAATACCAATTACTTGATGGCTGTTGTTGACCAGCTCTGAAAATATAGACAAAAATAGGTTAATTATATTTTATTATTAAAATTCATTGATAAAGCTTAGCTTGAATTTGAGTCTGAGATTAATCACTCAGTTTATGATGATTAAATATAAAACCTAGTGACTTCTACACTTTGCCTTAAAAAAGACTAATGCAGAAATAAATCATATGAATAATGTAAGGAAGTCACAATTCAAAAAATATAATAAGTCTACTAAATAAATTTAATTTCATCTGTCATATTTTAATTATTTTTCTTCATATATTAAAGTGAAGATATAAATTATTTTGAATGTATATTTTCCATAATATTAAATTGAAAATTGAAGTAAAAATTATTATAGAAAATTACAACAAAATCTAATCAATTGTTTTTATTTATATACTAAAAAATATCAAATTTTTACCTAAGGTTATCAAGAATTTTTCTTATTTTTCCAGCAACAGACTTAGAAATTCCCAAATGTTCAATTTTTTCTTGTCTCATGCACTGTAACTGAAAGCAAGGAAAACTCATTTAAAAACTAATTGTAATTAATAATCGTTACTAACTTAACATACTTAACTTAACATTATATAGTATTTAAAATTACAAATATTAAAATTATAGAAACATAGAAAGCAAGCAAAATTGATTATTATATTTATAAATTGTATATTGTTCTTCTAATAAATATTAGAAAAATTTCAAAATGATAATGTTAATACCTTTCTGTTTCTCTTTAAAATTTGATATAAAAGAATGAAACTGCTGAATTTAAACAAAAAGTATATTTGGTAGCAAAATTTGTAAAGTTTCTTACTAAACATTATTTAAAACAATACAAAGTTTATCTATTAAGAAGCAAAATATTCCTAAAACTAACATAAGCATAAAAACATCTTTATGAAATCAAGATCTATGCAGATAAAATGTATTTTGTCCTAATAATAAGCAACTTTCATTCCTTTAATATCAAATGGTTCAGCTATCTAACTATGTAATAAAGAGACAATTTAATGGGATTATTAGAAATAATTTTTCTCACAATAACATTGACTGTGTCATATTCATGTAATAATAAACAATAATCTGCTGGGCTATCAGCAGCCAATTATTAAATAAATAAAAACTATATACTGTATTATTAATTAAATATCTGGATTTGGCCTGAAGGCTGCCATCTTATATAAATTACCTTTACTTTATACAAAATGGCACATAATCAGTTATATTTAACCAAAAATCTACATATTTAATAAATACAAATTTAACATTAGTATAGCCTGAAAAAATAATCTATCTGTTTAGGCTTAAGTAAATTACAGTGAACCCCCATACAATGCAGAAGATGCATTCTATATTATAGGAAAGGGCATTGTATAAACCACATATGTTATGTAGGAACTATGAGTATGGTGTAATGGCAAAATAGCCAAAAAGTCAGAAATACATTTTATGAATGTGGACTCCTATAATGCATTCTACAAGGGTCCATTGTATTTCACTTTTATAATTATTATTATTACCAATAAATTCTAAAAAACTGGCACCATTTTATAAAACATAGAAAACAAATTGCCTTTTACTGGAAGCCAAAATTCATTTATTAAAACAAAAACGTTTTCAATCTACTTTATGTCATCTTCAGCTATTACACAAAAAATTAGAGAATGGAATGTCAGTTAGAAAACCAATATAATTGAGTATAGTATTTAAAATTACAAATATTAAAATTATAGAAACATAGAAAGCAAGCAAAATTGATTATTATATTTATAAATTGTATATTGTTCTTCAATTTAAACATATTGTATGCAAATCTTTGATGTATTTTGATATGTTTGTTATTTGATATAATGTTTATATAGTCATTTGTACTTGCTAAAAGCTTTTATGTCTGATCTGGCATTTTCTGTATGTATTATCTGTAAGTGTTTTAACACACATTTTCTGTAATCTTTTGTGTTTATGAGCTGATCTTGTTTGGCAACTATAAAGCCATCAGTCCCTCCAAAAATGGCATTCCCAAGCTAGTTAGTAATTTGGTTTAGTTTTTGCAAATAATCCTATCTAAGGTCATAAAAATGTCTATCATGAAATTTTAGATCTATGACTGATAAAGAGTTCTATATTATATTATATTATATTATATATATATATATTGTCCTCAGTCGCATCTGAGGGACATTCTGGAATGAATTTTGAAGTTTTCTTATTTATGTTTTATTAATGTTGTTCATTTAAAAAAAAAAAAACTGAATATTGTGCATTAAACCTGTGTTCAACACAGAACTCCAAAAATGTGTGTGTATTGAGTTGACACATGTATTAACTGTTATTTTAATGTTTAGATCCATAATTCAAGATTTTGCATTCAGGTCTGTTATTATTACTGTTTAAGCTATTGTTATATTCCTTTGTTTATATTCTATGTGACCTTGGCCAGTTGAAATCCTAAATTTCTGTAATTTTATTCTTGTCCAAAGACTCAATTGTTGTTGTTATTGTGTAAATATTGTTATTTATTATTATTATAAAAATTTATAAAATTTTCAAATATATTTATTATTAATTTATTAAATACATAAATAAAACAAGGATCACACTGACTGTTTTTATAGTAATCACCAACCTATTTGCCAAAAACAATTTTTATTTACCAGGTTACTTTTTCGATTACTATGATTTTTTGTACCAATCTGAAATGAAAGGATGACTGATAATATAAAAAATGCAGTGTTTCTCAAACAATTTTATTAACAATTTTATTTTTGTTTATTAACAGTAAAGTTGTATTCGACCAAGGCAGATTCATGTTCTGTAATACTCTTTCATCAAGAGACCCTTTTTTTTCAGAACTGCTCTCTGACTATTTGTCACTCAATCACCAGGTGAATATAATTTTCACAAATTGCAAATATTGCAACAGACAGCGTAACCCAATATAAAATTTAAATATCTACTTTAACTATTAAATTTATTTAACTATTCAACTTATACTGGTGTGTTCATGCTAATAAACTGTCACAAACCCAATTTAAAAATGCCTCTGTAACCTGCAATTAAATTACTTGCTGCTAACCAGATTTGTGACAATTCAATATATGTCAGTACAAGTTATATATATATATATATATATGCCAGCATCTGAAGAATAGCAGTTAGTTAACTATTGTTACTTATTAAAATAATACATACATCTTCTAATTTAAAATTCTTTAATTTATCAAAGTATTCATGCAGATGTTCTCTCTTCAAAAATCGTTCAAAAGTTGCAAAGTCTTTCTCTTCAACGCTGTTTCGAACAGGCCGCTGAATCCAAGGTGAAGCTGAGCGTGAATTTGAACCAGAATGAGGAGGAGAAACATAAGGTGATGATACAGGTGAAGAAATAGGAGATCTGACTGGTGGCGTGGCAGATGTTTGTGATTGTACAGTACTAAACAATAAAGTTATTATTATTAATTTTATATATAATTCAAATATTATTTAAATAACTAGAATACTTCTATTTTATTTTTCATATATGCAATACAGGTATCACTCATACAACACAATTTTGCTCAAACACAGTTGGAAAATTGGGGATATCCTCGTACAACACAACTTTTGGTTTCGCTCTAATATAGTTTTGGAAATCCTCTGATAAAATNGCCCATCTATCCAATGATGAGGATAATTACAACTAAACTTTGATTACAATAAGAAAAGTTTTTTAAATGTGTTTTGGAACCTACTAATTTTGATATTTATTGTTGGGTCCATTTAAATTCTGATACACCTTCACATAATTTTATAAACTACAAAATATAAAATTCCTATTTTTTAAAACTTTAACTACTGTTACCTATAACAATATATAAAATTCAGCAATTATTATTATGTAATGAACTGATAAAAATATTTCAAAGGTGCAAAATAGTTAATTTCTTTTTTTATACGAGGGTCATTCTAAAAGAAAAGAACATTTTGATCAGACGAGCTACGCAGTTCTCTCCCCACCCCCTACCCACTGCCGCATCATGGACCTTCCCATTTATTCCCAAAAGTCTGATGCTAACAGCAAGCTGCAACAATTGTTTACTGTTTATAGTGTAACTTTGAAATATGTGAAAAATTAATTAAATTAAAGATCCCGCCAAGTGTGAGGTTCGTAGTGTAATACGCTTTTTGAATGCAAAAAAAATCTACCCTATCAAAATTTACAGACAGACAACCAAGATTTATGGTAATGTGATCTATGAAGCTTCAATTTGAAACAAACAGCAGGGATTGTTGTCCGAAGGCATTGTGCTTCTTCAGGATAACGCACAAACTGCTGTGTTGACAAAGAACTTGCTTCAGCAGTTTAAGTGGGAAGTTTTTGAACATCCTCCTTATAGCCCGGACTTGGCTCCGAGTGATTACCATCTTTACCCAAAATTGAAAGATTTTTTGGCTGGAAATCACTGTGGAAGTGACAACAAATTGAAAGAGGCTGTTAATGACCGGTTCAAGAACTTCGCAGTAACTGAGTGTGCAGAAGGCATAGAAAAGCTGGTGACACGCTAAGAAAAATGTTTAAATTTGTATGGCAAATATATAGAAAAGTAGCTAAGGTATCATATGTGTTGTAAAATAAGTTTTGTTTCATTATCTTAAATAAAAATATCTAGAGATAAATGTTCTTTACTTTTAGAATGACCTTAATGATAAATTATATTTATTTTGTGGCTAAAATTTCTGTCAACAAATATAATAAAAGTACTCATTTGTTCCAATGTAACTATATTAATAATAACAATAAAGTGTAAAAAGACAAAAAAAAAGTGTATAATCAGATTAGGTATATAGATAAAGTTTTAAGATAAGATTATCCATATCACATACAGATAACCTTACCTTAATTATATGTACTGGTACTTTAATAGTAAGAACATACATTATAAGATTCAATCTAAATGATATTATAGTGTTGAATGAATTAAATTAACTAGGTGGAAGTCCCATTTCAAATCCACAATCTAAAAATAAAGCCACAAGATTACTTAAGACTAGGTGCAAATTAGTCAATGCCATCACTTTTAATGCGATGTCATGGCTCATGATATCACTCATGTTCTAAAGGCCCAATAAACATTTCCTCTAACATCCTAGGAATTATAACTCAAAAGAGTTTGTTTACAAAATTATAAAAATCGGTAATCACAATGTGTTACTTATAATTTTTTGCAATTACTTCTTGAGAGTATTTTTTACTACCAAAGAAGTGATTAATAAGAAATGTACTACATATTGCTAAATATATATGTTATACAATCATATGTATATTTTATAGTTACAATAATTTAATAAAATAACTGTAATGTTAAATTAATGAAATATTTTGATAATCAATCAAAAAGTTTGATGTGAAATCAGAGCTTGTAGCTGAAATAAGTGGCATAAATATTGTGCTTGAAAAATCCAACATGTTGAATCTGAAAGTCATTGAAAGAACCACCTATTTTCTGTCAAAGGTATAATATAGAATGACATTGAATTGATGACTGTACAGCTAATGATTGGCCTATGATGACCAGTTTGCTGTTATGTCAACTAGTTTATACTTAGCCTAAGCCAACTGATGTCCAGCAATGTGAGATCTTATTGATATTTCTCAAATGCATATTAATACTATACATAATGAACAAACAGTCACACCTATTTTTAAATTTTTATTTCATATTTCTATTCAACTAATTCATATAAAATAAATGTCAAATTACAGCTCAATATGAGATTTGGGCTACTCAACATTTTGTATTTTTTATCTGGATCAATTATTTATATTGGTTACTAACATCTCCAGGGTTATCTAGGTGTACTCTAAGTTCAATATTTTTCAGTTTAATTTTGTTAACTTCCTCCTTTGCCAATATCCACAGAAAAAAATAATATGAAGTTAAATTAGAACTCCAAGATAATTATTTATTGGCCATTTTCAATCATATATTTTATTTTATTTTTAACACAATTACAGCTTATATTATTCTGACATGTCTTCATATAAATTATTGAATTAGTTGAATGAGAGTAAAGAAATGAAAATTTAAATAGATATATATGGGATAATTGAAAATTGTTCTATCATATTTACTTGAATATAAGATGCCATCTAGTCTATTAGATCTAAGATACAGTTTAATTTCTTTGTGCTCACCCATAAGTTTTTCTTTTCTTTTTCTTGGAAAATAGACAACTCAAGAAAAATTTGTCAACAAATGATTCTGTTGACAAAAAAATTCTGTTTTTTTCTGTATTTATTGCATGTAAAATAGTTATGTATCATATTCTTCTATGGTACTGAAGTCTAAAATCTCTTCACTTTGTGTTAGGTTCTTCTGAATAAACACTGGATTCAGAGCTCACATCTTTCATGTGGAAAGATGTGAGTCTTCAGTTCCTTTTAAGCAATATATTCCTTTTTGGAAATGTAATATTTCTTGAAAGGAAGCCACACCACTTTTTCTGCAATTTTCATCCAAGTACTTACAATGTTACTGTAATAGATTAATAGATTGATCTCGTGACCTCTCTCAAGTAGTTACTATTTGACCATTACAAATATCAGTTTAATAAAAATCATTAGTTATTCTAACAACCACTTAATTAAAAGGTCTTTTTAGACAATTAAGCAAACTTGCAATATCTTTCCAATTCCAACAATCACCCAAAGCCAAGAATTATTCAGAATTTCATTAACAATTCTTTCATTTATATGCATTTCAGATCAGAAACTGCAAGAGTTGCAAGTCAACAAATAATAATTTGTAGACTGAATCATAATTGTAATTGTAATTACCTGAAGTATGATCGTGTCAGGCAATTGATACTGCAAAGATACTGCAAGTTTGCTTAATTGTCTAAAAATACCTTTTAAGTGGTTGTCAGAATAATCAATAAAATCTGACATATATTGCTAGTTTTTAGCCTAATTTTATTAAAAATCATTAAAATAATGCAATGGAATTAGTGACAGATAAACAAAATGCATGACACTAGAGGATGTTAATTATTACATATTACATTGATCTAAGAGGCCATCAAACATATGATGCATTATATTTTCAGAGATACCATAACCTGAAAAATAGTAAATCTTACATTCAAGTAAATATGGTATGTAGCAAGATAGGCACAAACATTCTGGAAATCATCCTAAGATAAATACAGTAGACTCTACTTATTTTAATCACTTTGAATCTTACCTAAACTGATAATAAGCAGAAAAAGTAAATGAGTGTTAGAACAATTACAAATTGTATAACTTAAAAACTTTATTAATTATAATCATTATTAATTAAAACAAAATTCATCCAGTATTGTTTGTGTGCTACGAACATCAACAACAGCTAGTGTAAAGCTAGCAATTTTGTTAAAATTGTAATTTTGTAAGCAAATAACAGCACTAATTAACATGGCATTAAAAAGGCCCATCTATCCAATGATGAGGATAATTACAACTAAACTTTGATTACAATAAGAAAAGTTTTTTAAATGTGTTTTGGAACCTACTAATTTTGATAATTATAATCAATTAATAACATTATCTGTGATTACAGTAAGTGGAATCTATTATATTTTGCAAACTAGATATACTAAAATTTCAATAAAAATAATAATATTCAAACTATCATCATTTCAGATCTTTTGTAAATAGCTCCATTTTAAACAAATTCTATGAATCTGTTTTATAAAAATTATTTAATAAAAATTTCTTGTATATTTAAAACTATTACTTTTATTATAAATTCATAATTAGCTTATATAAAAATACACTATCAGAATTATTTATTATAATAAGCTCTCTTTTGTGTTTTATTTGACTAACTGTCTAAACAATATTCAATAGAGAGTTGATAAAATAAAACACATAAAAGAAAGCTTATTATAATAATAAATAAATTTGATAGTGTATTCACTGTTGTCTAACTTTGGGATATTTTTAGAACAGACAAAGAAAAAAATAGTGACAGATAAAAATTAACAGCAAAAAGTTTTTCAATGCAGAATGCAAAAATGACTTTGAAAATAATAATTAGTGATATTCAATATTTATGCAACTGAAGATAGTTTTAAAATTGTACGCAAAACTTTAGGCACAGCAGCATAATACCAATTACTTGATGGCTGTTGTTGACCAGCTCTGAAAATATAGACAAAAATAGGTTAATTATATTTTATTATTAAAATTCATTGATAAAGCTTAGCTTGAATTTGAGTCTGAGATTAATCACTCAGTTTATGATGATTAAATATAAAACCTAGTGACTTCTACACTTTGCCTTAAAAAAGACTAATGCAGAAATAAATCATATGAATAATGTAAGGAAGTCACAATTCAAAAAATATAATAAGTCTACTAAATAAATTTAATTTCATCTGTCATATTTTAATTATTTTTCTTCATATATTAAAGTGAAGATATAAATTATTTTGAATGTATATTTTCCATAATATTAAATTGAAAATTGAAGTAAAAATTATTATAGAAAATTACAACAAAATCTAATCAATTGTT